ATTCTAGCCACCTTCAAATCGATATTTCTATCTTTCCGGGGAAACACCACAATGCCCAAGAATGCTACCATGAAAGCAAACCGCCTATGTTCATTCCACTTTGCCTGATTCCCTCTGCTGCAGACACCGCTTTCCGGATCATTGAACCCTCCTATATGCCCGTACCTCTGGTATGTGAATTGAAAGGTAGAAAAACCCCTATCCAATTCAGTGTATGGGACTCCCTTGCTTATCTTCAATAGATCCATGAATTTGTGCGAATTTACAGCTCTTGGAGCGATCAGATATTTGTGTCTTAAACCTTCAGTAACGTCCATGTAACCTGCTACCTCTTTTAAGGTTGGGGTGAGTTCAAAATCCGAGAAGCGGAATACGTTGTGGGCCGGGTCCCAAAATGTAACCAAAGCCTTTATGATGTCGCATCTGGGCCTGACATTCAACAAACTAGTCAGACCTCCCAGATGCAGTTTGATCTTGTCTTGCTCTGACTTTTCCAAATCCTCCCACCACAAACGCAACTCCAAAGGGATTTTGCTCCTAACTGTTACCGGCAAACTTGGACATGTGCTCATTCTGCATGTTTATTAGGGCAATTAAGCAAAGATCCAGACTCCTTTTATTCGAATACAAAATTGACACACCTTTCTTTCCTTAAAAATTGACATTCGGCTATTTCTGAAAAGAACGACGTCACCCTAACTATTTCAAAAAAAATTTGTTCTTTTGGATTATTTTTGAAAAAAGAAAGTTGTACCCGACGGGGGTTGCCTACGTATCTCATACCCTGCGAGAATCAAACCGGCATAGTTCAGGCAGAGAACATAAACCAAATTTTGGAAACAATATATTTTTTTCATTTTCCATGACACGACAAACTATTTTTCCTCTTCTATTTTGAAAACAAAATAAAGACTCTTATTTTTTTTTTATTTTTTTTTTACAAACAATGACCAACCTATTTTCCAAACCAAGACTCTTTTCTATATATTTTTGCTTCTTTGAATGAAAAATAAAAAATAGGCATTTTCCTCTTCTTCTTCTTTTTTTCATTTTATCAAAATTTTCGGCAGAACTTCGACAGTATTTGGGCATTGGCTTTTCTAAAATAAGCAATTAACTCTTTACACTGTTACTTCGCTCTTTTTCACAATTTTCCAGTATTCCAGATTTTCGGAACCGGTCAGCATGCAAGTCTAAAGCAAATGAATGCATAAAGCAAACAGGATGTAGCAGGATAGTCTTTTCACTTCAGGTTGCTAGTCCTAGACGGACTCAACCCCTGTGTTGAGTCCCCTATGTCAAATGCACATGATGCAAATAAACGTTTCCTACTAGGGATCCGGCATGAGGCTTTGTTATACTGAGTTTTAAAACCTAGGTGTTTGTTCTAGACCTGGCTTACCCGAGCGGACAACTCGAGCCGAGGATGGGAGCTGTGTACCGGTAACCAAAAGGCCATCCGGTTTTGCAACTCCTCCGAATCCTCGTTCTATTTTGGTATATGACACTAACAGAAAGAAGTCACGACCAGCGTGCACTCCTCAAGAGAGAGAAGAGAGGGGCTTCGGCACAGTTTATATATACAGTCCAAGTAATATCAAAGCGATAAAACACATCATCTAGCACTAAACATGTAACAAAATCAGATAAAGCCAAATATAATAATTTATCTAAGCTCGAATTTCTAACCTGAACCAGTGGTTCTGGGTTACTGTCCCCAGCAGAGTCTCCAGAGCTGTCACACCTCCTTTTTCCGCCCCCGCGAGGGGCGTAGGGAGTTTTTTCCAATTAAAGGACAATCGAAACGGGATTTGTTTATTTATTTCAGAGTCGCCACTTGGGAGATTTAGGGTGTCCCAAGTCACCAATTTTAATCCCGAATCGAGGAAAAGAATGACTCCATATTACAGTCTGCGTACCAGAAATCCGGATAAGGAATTCTGTTAACCCGGGAGAAGGTGTTAGGCATTCCCGAGTTCCGTGGTTCTAGCACGGTCGCTCAACTGTCATATTTGGCTTGATTATCTAATTTAATACATGTTGAACCTATGTGCAAAATTTAACTTTTAACCGTTTTTATCATTTACTATTATTTTATCAAGAATTACAACATCGTGGAAACACATTTCGAACCACGTCACAATCAATGTACCCGTGGTTAGAGCTACATTTCAACTCTGTTGAGATTGGGATTTGGGTCACATAAATGTGCACCCGAGTTTAGGAAGATAACATTAT